AAACATTTTTTTTAAGAGCTAAAGGGAAAGTCCTGTAGGGACTAATGCCCTTTCCCAGGCTGGACGTGTGGCTACCATATCGTTATTTATGTTATCTGTTTACAGCTCTCTGAACAGGGAGCTCTTCAAGGGCAGCCTGTGCATCTATGGGGCCTCATAACCTAGCCAAAGACACCCCCCCATGCTTGTTGTTAGCTGCTGTTAAGTCAGTTCTGACTCATGGCAATCCCATGGGCAACAGAACAAAACGTTGCCTGGTCCTGTGCCATCCTCACAACCACTGGTTTGCACAAGTCCACTGCCGCAGCCACTGTCCTTCGAGTGCCTTCCAGCCTAGAGGGCTCATCTTCCGCACTCCATCAGACAGTACTCCGTGGGGAGCCATCGGGTTTGCACTGACTTGTTTTCAGAAGTCGATTACCAGTCCTTTCTTCCTAGTCTCCCTTAGAGTGAAAGCACCACTGAAACCTGGCCATCAAGGTGACCCTGCTGCTATGGGAAATGCTGGTGACAGAGCTTCCAGCATCACAACAACATGCAAGCCACCACAGTATGACAATCTGACAGAGGCCACATAGTAGGCCCTCAATAAACACTGCCCAAGTGAACTTCTCAGCTAACAGGAACCCCGAAGCCAAACAGTTGGGGAAAAAACCACCCTGAAATCACTATCCAGCCTTGGACCCGCTACCCACATTCTTGATCTTATGATGAGGAAGGGAAAAATATCATGACATGCTTGGAGCCACAAAAGAGTTCCATGGAATTCAAGAAGTCCCTTTCATAGTTCTAATTTTAGGCAGAAACGAGAAGAGAAGATACTGGTGGCAAAGAGGTGGGGGGGTGGGGCAGCGGGGAGGAACTGAATAAGGCCCCTATTCTGCTTGGTGCAGGTGCTGGTAAAAGGACACCCCTCTCTAAAGGGAGAGGCGGGGTAGAGAATTCAAGGTGTGGTCTGGTGTTTTTTCACCCCCAGTCATGTTACATAACCCCAAACACACTCTCTTTACCTAGTCCAAAGTCCCCCACATCAGGCCCATTTCAGTTCCTGACATGCTGACTTCTTGGGGAATAAGACCAAGGAAAATGTTTAATTTTAGTGTCCAACTTTAAAAAAAAAAAAGTTATTAGAAGAAAGACATCTATAAGGGGAGCTGCCCCCAAGTGTGGTGAGTCGAGTCCCTTGTTTCAAAAATTTACCGAACAACATCAGATTCTATGCTGGTTCAGATTCTGAAAAGCAGTGGCACATTTGAGCATCTCACTCTTTCGAAGAGCTACTGATATGGGATCAACTTGACAACAGCAACTCGGAAGGTCAGATAGGAAGTTGGGGGCTGTGACTGTAGGTCAGTGGGGGAGGAACAATCCAGGAAAGGAGGACGAGGATGGTCTCAGAGCGTGAAGAATGCCATCAAGTCACCAAATTGCTGTACACGTACAAACTGTTGTACTGGGACACGTTTTGCCACGTGTATTTTCAATAAGAACAAAAAAATATTATTTAAATTATCATCTTCTCAAAAAAGCAATAGCACAAATCTGCTGTTGGCAGCACCCAGCCTGTCTCTGAGACCCCAGCATCTCCTTAATGCACTCAGCATCATCCAAACGTCAGAAGTGAGTCAACTGGCCTTCAAAACAGTCACGTCAGGCTCCTGTTCCCTGGACAAACCAGCCACGGGCCCTTCTCTCCAGCCACACGACCGTCTTGTTTCCCCTTTCCTTTGGCACCAATGAACACCAAAGGCCTTGCAGAACAAGGTCAGCAGCGATTTCCGTGGACGGGAGGAAAGGATGCCGGTAAGTGATTTCGCACACCACCATTCATTAGTGACCACCAGCACAGCGGGGTGAAGAGAAAGGGAAAAAACACAAGGCTCCCTTCTCAAGGAATCAATTGGTTATTTAGCAGCCACTGCATGCCTTGCATTGTGCTAGATCCCATGGAAGAAAAATGACAGTTTCTTTCGCACCCTAGGCCCAAAAAGGGTAAGACACACACACCCTGACAGCTGAGGCCTTAGCTCAAGGAAGCAGCATTAGAAGAAAGCAGGAAGAACTGGCTCTAGTGTTTAGGTGTCTTGAGATTCGTTAGTTGCAGAAAAGAGATCCTGCTGGGCCTTGAAATCACTTTTTTTTTTTCCCTCCAAAGAGGAAATTTACTCCCTTCCTGTGTTTTAATGGCCCTGCCATACATTCTAGAGAAGTAAATGCTACTAATAAAACCATTTTCCTTACCCTTTTTCACCCCAGTCCAAGAAGAGTCTGAAAAGGAAATCTAAAAATGTATCAAGATGGCTTTCCAAATGGGTTGGAGACATTTAATGTTTATCCTTGGAAGCAAAGAAAAAGGGGAGCAAAGGCATTTTAAACCCATCATGGGAGTTTGAAAAAGGGAAAAGGAGGATAAACAGGTCATTAGAAAGCCAGCTGATGTCAGATATTAAAACGACTTTTCTTGCTGGCGGCTTCACACAAACGCATGCTACGCACTGCTTATCCTACATAGCTAAGATCTACAAATGCCCTTTTCAAATACCACTGCCATCTAATCCAGGAAGAAGTCTTTTAAGAAAACTCCATGAAAATATTCAGCAACTGCCTTTTGCATAAACAATCTTGGGAATCAGGCACCCATCTGGCTTTTCCCTCCTAGTTGCCCATTGCTCAACAGTCTGTAAGTCTGCAGAGCCCCGGGCATGGCTCAGTCCTGTTCCTCATTGTTCCGAATATGTTTTACAGCCAAAACCAACCAACCTTTAAAATTAGTGACATCTTCCCATAGGATGTAGAGTACACTCTACCAAACTCAAAGGGAAAGAACTCGAGGGCCGCACACTCTGGATTCAGCGCTAAGAGGCCATTAAACAAGAAGTCTTTAGGGACAAAAAGCTAATGGGTACAGGGTTTTTCTGGGGTGGTAAAAATTAGGCAGCTGTTAATTGCATGACTGGATATACTAAAAGCCATTTAATTGTATACTTTAAATGGGTGGATTATATGATCTATGAACTGTATCTCAATAAAGCTGTTATTTGATTTAAAAAAAAAAAAAGTCATCTCTTTGAAACTAGAACCTCGCAGAGGGAAAAGAACACCACCTTAGTGCCCACAAAAGCCCCAGCCAGCACACCCTAGAGGGCAGCCATTGGCTGGCAGGTGGCAAGCAGGATAGGATGACCCACCCTTTGGGCAGGGTTCTCTTCTGAAGGGCTTTGGATTCAAACTGGTTGACTGGGAAGACCCGGGCCTGGACTCCGGATAATAAGAACAAAGAGAGAGATAAAACTCCAGATGGAACACTCTCAGACTCTGGTGGGCATATCAGTCGGAGTCCCTCGGTTCCTTGTTGTAACTACTGAGGGCCAGGAAACCGCCATTTATATCCTCCCAAAACATAAGCTTTAGCAACAAATCTCCAATTCCTCCTCTGGTAATAAGAATAAGCCATGTGTGCCTCAAACCAAATCTTGTCTGATTACACGGTATGTAGAATTTAAGTGAACAATAAATAAGACCCCAGAGACCAGGGAGGGAGCATCAATCTTTGTCTTCAAAGAACACTTCAATAATCCCATATGTGCTGGGGCAAAGGAATGAAAGGGGCTGCCTTTGAACTGGGAAGAATCCATCTAATTCCAAGTGGCTGGATTAGAGGCATTCCTAGGCAAGCAGGGTCTCAGCTGCAGATCATGCTACCAGAATGTCAATTCCTGACAAAAGGCATGAGGCTTGTAGGAGGTTTTCAAAATGGACAAGGCCAGGGTGGCGACACCCTGGAGAAGTTCACCCTGGCTGAGGTGGTAACTGGTCGGAAAAGGAGGAAGCAGCCCTGACAGCTGGGCATTCCTCCCCTAAACCCATTGCCCAGGCACCCACCTCTCCAAACCTTCCACTTCACCAGACAAAAGCCCCACCCGCCGCCCAGGCAGCGGCTGCAGGGGGCTCTCCACACCCACTCTCCTACAGCTTTCCAAACCTGCCCACTTGTTCTGGAAGCCGAGTTTTTAATTAAACACCACCTCCCCGGATCTGAGGAGGCAAACGAGGGCTGGGCTAGAGCCAAAGAGAAGCTCCCTAAATACACTTGGGGGGGGGGGGACTGCCCCCACAACCCCCAATTCCCACCTCCAGCCAGCCTGCTACTGGTTGGATTTCCTTTGGATGAGTAACGCAGGGCCCTGCTGTATCTCCACGCAACAGAAAACCCACATCAAGGATCAGTCCCAACCTTGCAGGAAAAAGCCAGGGTGTTGTTCCCCGCCCCCAACATACACAGGCGCACGCACACACAATCTCCACAATCCTTCCAAGAGAAAACCTGGAGTGTGTGCTTGTCTGTGTATGTGTGTGTGTTGGGGGGAGGATACAGTTCGTGTGGGGGTCCCCAAACCCTCAGTCCTGGGATCCTCAGCTCGGGAAGGAAGTGTCCCTGCCAGGCTGCCCTGAGAACTTCTGCTCCGCGCCCTCAAGGAGGCCACGCACACCCTCACCCACCTAATTAACGCCTAATTTGCTCGGATCCCCCCTATACACCGGTAGACCTGGAAGCCAAGGAGGGCGAGTGAGACCTTCCCCCCAGTCTCCTGTAGCCAAGCACAACCTCCTCCTTCAACCATCACCACGCTAAACGCCCCCCATTTTGTCCCCGGGGGAATCAGGTGTCCACCCGGCCATGAAGCCTCCACGGGTCTCAGACACTCAGTCCAGGAACAGACAATGGAAAACTTAGGAGTAGGGGCCCTGAGCGCCCAGGGGACTGAGATGGTGCCGTCCCCTGGGACAATCAGCAAAGAGATGGCAGAAGGCATCAGACGCCTCCAGAGAACCCTCCCGCCCGGGGACTCAGCGGAGCCTGGAGCAGCGCCCAGGGTGAGCAGGTGACACGGGCCCGAGGGCTCCCGCAGGTGGCGGGCTAGCAGCCGTCCCCGGCGGGGGCGACGCACCGCGGCGAGGTCAGTGCGCCGGCCGCCGCCGCCGCGCCCCCAGCGTCCTACCTTCATGTCGCTGATGATGGTCTGGAAGAGGCCTCCAAGCGCGCTGCATTCCTTCTCAATCACAGCCTCCATTTTCCCGGCGCTGGCAGGGAGGACACTCACTCGGACCGCCTGAACTGAGCGCGGGGCCGGGCTCGCTCACCCGGGCGGAATTTCACCCCCGAGCGACGCACCTCGGGCTCGCAGCCTTTCCTGCAGAGAGCACGGAGTTCACGAGACCGACTGTCCGATGCCAAAAACAGTAACAACAATGTAAAAATCCACGCCGCTCTCCTACGTACGGCGCTCGGCTCGTGGCCTTAAAAATGCCGGGAGAAGACTGCTAATCAGGCCACCACTGGTGCCCCTGACAGAAACGGCAAAGCCCATCTTGAGGCAGAGAAAACCGCCCGCTGACCCGGGGCCAGCGCCATTGAAAAATGCAAGATTTTCAAATTTTATGAATTTTTCTGGAATTTAAGAAAATCGCATAGCAGCAGAGCGGGTGTGCTCGCGGCGCCCGATCTGTTGCTCCAGCGCGGCCGCCGCCTCCTTTTCACTCCTGCGCGCCGGCCCCGCGCGCGCGCTAGCTGCGCTCCTGAGGACGTTCTCTGGGGCGCACGCGCGCTCGCAGCCGTGCGTGCGCGCGGGGGCGCGGGCAGGGCGCGCGCTCGAAGCTGCGGGCGGAGTGGCTGCAGGCGGGGCTGGCAGCGCGCGCCCGGGAGACCCGGGCGCCCTCTGCAGAGAGAAGCTAGCGGGAGGGCGGGCGGACGGCAGGCACCGGGAGGGTTCCGCCCCCGCAGCAGAGGACGTACTGAGCGCCCTTTCTTCCCCCGGCCGCCCAGACCTGCGGGGAGCGGGCCCACCCCACAATGGCTCCAAGCCCCCGGAACCGAGTGTGTATCCTGATCCCCGCGATGGCACGCTTGCACAGCGGCACGCCTAGAGCGGTGCCGGGCATATAGTGAGCCTCAGTAGGGCAGAAAAGCTACTGCTGCAGTCTTCCGAGAAGATACCCACCCTGACTTGCATGTCAGGACTGCAAGTCACGATTGCAAATAGCCAAATATGTCATTAAGGAGCGTTCAGGGGCGGGGGCGGGGGGTGTCCCTGCAGTGTGATGCGAGTTTGATAAAGTTGCAGGATGCCAGGGAAGTGGATTGATTTGCAGTTACAAAACAAACGGAAACGGCCTTAGAGCTTCTCTATGTTGTTTCTCCTATGTGGAGATTGCTGACTGCCTAGGTGGACCGCCGAGGCCCACCGAGGGCATTGGGAATTGGTATCACGGCAGAGAGGCCTGTGGGGAGGTTTAAACACAAATGTGCCAGGCGATATGCACCCGGTGTTTTATTTCCACAGCACCCCGCACAACCAGGATGACGCCTGTGAACATAAAATGGACGAGGGAGGGGGAAGTATAAGCAACTGTAAACAGACCTTGAAACCTAGGCACCTGACTCTGCGATGTCCCCTTGACCCTTGAACTGACCATTTGAAGCACAAACGCAACAAAAGGAAAATGCTGGGGTGGGGGAAGGGTGAATGAAACCATGTGCAAAACACTGGAGACCTCGGTCTGATTCACTCAATGATAGGAAAAGGCCTGACTTTGAACACTGCTTGAATAGAAGGGCTGTAGGAAGCAGCATGTCACTGCTGCAGAAGATAATTTTCCCCTGGGCTGCTCTGCCCAACTCTTAACTGCACCCCTTACTCCTACCCCCACCCCATCCACTCCTCTCACCCACATTTCAAGTAGGGAAGCCACCTTCTGGAATTGATGTCTCTGTGTCCTGCAGCCCTGCTGGACCCTGCCTCCAAGAACATTCAGATGCACAGGATTCACCATCACCTTGCAAGGAATGGTGCTTGACACATGGTTTTCTCTCAATCATTATCCTCCTTGGAAGTTTTCTGCTGTTGTTATTGTTAGGTGCCATCCACTCAATTCCGACTCATAGTGGCACTGCCCCCATTAGGTTTTCTTGGTTGTCATCTTTGCGGAAGCACACTGTCACATCTTTCTCCCCGGGGCAGCTGGTGGGTTAGCAGCCAGGCGTTTGAGCCACTGCACCAGCAGCGCTCCTTCCTTGGCATATAATAAGCACTTGATCCATCTTATGAACACAAGTAGAGACCAAGTCACAGCTCCTGTCAAGCGTGGGCCCATGGTGCACATTGTTGTTGTTAGGTGCCATTGAGTCAACTCCAAATCATAGCGACGCTATGAACAAACAGAACAAAACACTGCCAATCCTGCACCGTCCTCAGGATCCTCAGTATACTTGAGCCCATCATTGCAGCCATTGTGCCCACCCATGTCTATTAGGGTCTTTCTCTTTTTCATTGATCCTCTACTTTGTCAAGCATGATATCTTTCTCCAGGGTCTGGTCCCTTCTGACAACATGACCAAAGTAGGTGAGAGAGTGCACATGATAAGCATGCAATGTTGGTGTGCTGTCCACTGACGTTACCGAGAGCCTACTATGTGCCGACCTAGGCATTTTACATGTGTTGTATCTAATCCAAACCACACCCTTGGGTCAGAGGTTGTCCTCCAACATTTAGTGATGTCACTTCACACCTGGAGAGAGGCTGGCAGGCAGGCAGGCAGACCTCCTACCCTGGTTTTCTGATCTCCCTGCCTGATGTCTCCCCTCCTCCCAGCCTCCAGGCCTTCTGGGATAAGGGCCACCTGCCTTAACCTGCAGAACACTGAGTTCAGCTTTCCTGCCACATGCCTGAATTGAAATGGATGGAGCACCCAACCTCAGTAAATGTTTGCCAAAGCCACCATCTTGTTTGCCTCCTTTTTCCTCTGGTCTTGGCCTTCGAGTCGCTGGGTGGGGCAAAAGGGTAAGCACTTGGCTGCTGACCAGAAGGTTGGAGCATCGAGTCTACCCAGAGACACCTCGGGAGAGAGACGCCTGTCAATCTACTTAAGAAAAATCAACCGTTGAAAATCCTATGGGATTTGGAATAGGATAGTGGTGAGGTTTGCACAATGAAGAATGTAATCAATGTCACTGAATTGTGTGGAAATTATTGAATCGGCAAATGTTTTTTGTTATGGACATTTACCACAATTTAAGGAATAAACAGAAGGATGAAAGAACACCCGATGGAGTAGGCCACATATGGGGTGGCCAAGAGTCAGAATCGACTCAAAGGCTTGGGACTAAGAACCAGGCTCGCTGTCTCTCACGGGGAGGTGGTACATCCAAAGTCTTCTCAAAAGGGAGTCTGGAGTGTTCCCCAAATGGGAAAGCCCCAGAGGAGGGCAGGCACTGGCATTTTTAACAAGGCCTAGGGTGAGACTGGTGAGCCGAAGGACTCTGAGCAGAGTGACATCAGATCTGCACCCTTGTAAGTCCCCTGGTTAAGAACCTCTAACTTAAGGACAATTCAGACTTGACCTTTAATGTTATGTAAATCTGATCTCCCTCTGAAATGGTTGAACCAACCCCTCCTCACAACAAATTCTCCATCACCATCACGTTCCCCTTTACTTGCTGCAGGTGCAGCTTTTAAATCACTGAAAATGCTTGAGGCCTTTTCTTGCACTAACTACCCCCCCCACACACACACACACATAATGCCCTGGAGTCCATACTTACTCAGAGTAGGATTGCCTTGTAGCATTGCCAAGGCTGTAAATGTTTACAGAAGCAGACGGCCACGTCTTTCTCCTGGACAGTGGCTGGTGGGTTCAAACCACCTATGTTTTGGGTTGTAGCCAAGTGCTCTAAACCACTGTGCCACCAGAGCTCCTCTTGCACTAAAGTAAGGCTAAGTGATAACTATAAGCACCTGTTCTGATTTCCCACAAATTCAGCCTTCAGACAGACTCAGGAATGGCAGCTGGTTGGTAATCAGGGTCTGCCTGTGTATGGTTTCCCCTTGTTTGAGTATCCCGGCAGCACTTCCCTTCCTTCCAAACCCCAAACCCTCAGTGGGTAGACATCAAGATCTGATTAACCTACAACTCCTCCCAGGGGCATTTGCCTGGTGGTGGCGGCGGCGGCGGCTGCTTGTTTGCTTTTAATTTTCTAATAGCTCCTGGGAGGGGAACCCAAAGGAATGAATCCTTATTAGAGGAATTTCAACCATGGTGGTTAGGGGAAGAGAAGTCCATCGAAAGCAACTCGTGTTATCCTCATTCCCTGTGAGACTGGCCTGTGGACTGGAGATCAGACACCGTCAGACTCCCAGCAGGTTACCTGATCTCTGAAGCCAGCCTAGATTTCCTCTGAACTCTTGAGAGTCCCTGGCTGGTCCAGTTAATACACTCAGCCACTTACCCAACGGTTGGCGGTTCAAGCCCCCTAGAGGGGCCTCAGAAGAAAGACCTGGAATGTACTGAAGAAGCAGCCCTTGACGACACCTTAGAGCACCATTCTACTCTGACACCCGTGGGGTCACCATGAGTCAGTCAACTCGACAGACAGCAGCTGGCTTACCTCCCTAGTGCACTGCTCAGAGGATGAAAACAGATATAAAACATCTAGCACTTAGTAGTGCTAACCACATGGGAATTCTCTGCCCTCACACTGTGGCTCTTAACCTTAGCTGTACAGAGGACCCTACCTGGTCCTCAAACTTGGCTGCAAATTGTAGTCTCCTGGGAGAGTTTTAAGCCTCCCCAAGGCCTGGGCACCACTCCTAGAGGGTCTGATTAAATTGGCCTGGTCTCTGGCCTGGGCATCAGGGGTTTTTAAGTTCCTAGCGTGATTACACTGTTTCACAAAATTTAAGAACTCTGACCTGGAAAACTGAAAACAACAAAAAGATGCCCATGCCCCAATCCTGCCCTAAAACAAATAACTTAGAATATCTCTGGGTTGGGCTGTAACATTTTTTAATGAAACATTTTATTTCATCTTCATTTAAGGATACACTCCAGTGTATGTGTCTGTCTGCCTGTTTGTGTGTGTGTGCACACACGTATACAGAGACTTCTCATTGTTTTACAAAAACAGGAGCATATCATAACACCCATTTTTGGATCTTGGTATCAACACCTACCAGTTGCTGTGGAAATATCTCTTGGTTAGCCATAATTCTTCTAATGCACTCCCTTTTTTTCTTTTGACTTCTCATTTCAGAATTCTAAAAATGTTCCAAAAATAGAGCAAAGCTATCCCCCTTACCCTTCATTGGATCACCTGACTACTAACCCCTTGTGGCATTGGCCCCATGCTTAGGTAGGTTCAAGAGGCCCCACAGGTGATTCTAATGTGTGGTTGCTTGAGTGAAGACATGGG